AGTAAAAGCGGCTTGGGTTCAATGAAGCCTCGGAAAATCCCACGTTCCGGACCGACGACTTGAAGTTGCACCTCGAGAACTTGCCGATGGAATATCCGTTCATCACCACTCGAATAATGCTAACAACGAGAAGAACGAAAGAGTGCACACATCATCCGATTTATGAGAGAAGGCCACGGATTGACTTCGAAGATTACCACCCACTCACCTCCTCAGAGGAATCCGATAGATGTCATACTCTTTGACTTCTTGAGGGCTTTCGATATTGCAGAGCACCGGCTTCTTTTACGAAAGGTTCGGGGAATAGGAATTCGATACCCCTCTAGAGTGCACGGAGTTTTAGTGTCTGGTGCCGACGCCGTACAAGAGGTCATGGGATCGCATTTCTCAATCTGCCTCTGTAACAGCCAACTACGGTCACTCACAACTTATTATCACCCACTCAACTGATCAAGCGGCCAATGAAGCTATTTCACATTATGTCTATTCATTCACACCCACATCAGCCTTGCGGACAGACGTGTAGGCAGGCCTAGAACTGGCCAACCTACCTGAGGCGATTGTTATGTCCCAATCTACGAAAAAATTCAAACACCGACTTGATATACATATGCTATAGCACAACGTGAACAATGGGAAAAATTAATCTTGAAACACCAAAACGCGATGTGACTGGCTATATTTTCCTGACTGAAAAGTTGTTAACATTGCTTCTAATTCTTGAGATTTTGATGTGACAAATAGGGACTTTAAAGGCGCAAGCCTATTTTTTCCTCAAATATACTGACTGACTGATTTCACTTATCCTATAGGCTATTAAGAAATAGCCTGCTCTGGTCATTTCTGGATTATCAGTGACCATGACCTTTTGTTGAGACTGCAGGTTTTCGTCGAGTTTGCCTGCACAACTCCGCTGTTTGGTCACCTGTACAAGGCCAGAAGCGGACACATACGACTGGAACTCCAGAAGTTTCTCTTGAGCCAATGAGTACTACGCGCGTGGAACTTGATGCAAAGCGAAGCAGTTACCCTCCACACTGAATTGAGAGTAAGGCTTGATGTCCCGTTCTTTGACAAATAGCGTCTTCTTCAACGTAAATTCTTTCAATCACCCCTTGTATAGCGCTTGTGGGTTTACTCTTCTTCCCCACTGCTTCGCACGGACTGGCGACGACCTGACTTAAAATATGTTATAGTTTTATTCGAACCTGTGTACAAGTTTGTAACTAAATAATGACTGTACATAAAGAGACAAACGTTACGGTACATTAAATTAAATTAATTCATTGGTCAATAGTTTGCAGGTAAGGTCAAAATTGCTATACCGTAGAGGATCGAGCTAACAGTTGAAGAAAACTCCAGATCATTATCTCTAGTGATTTTAGGAGAAAAAGCTGGGGATGGGTTGATACAGATGCGCGGTGTGGTCAGTCCCCATTTGGTCTTATGGATCCGGTATTCTTCACCAGATAATGGTGTGTCGGTCAGCCATTGCTGGCTGTCGGTGGAAGAATTAGCCGATTGCGGGCTGCAGGATTAAGGTCATTGTCTTCGACGTAAAGCCTGGCACATGGGTCAGAGTACACGAACGCTATCAGTGGGGAAGAGAGATTCTATCGAGTTAGTACACAAAATTCGTGAAAGGTGTGTTGAATGTAGAAAACTAGTGATAGCTCCCTTAAATAAAAGATAGATTTGCTGAATTTTGATACTTCTGGTTAGATTATGCCAGATTGCTATGGCGTTTACTTGAAGAAACTAGCGATATCTAACTGTGCGTGTCAGAGGAAGGAAAAAATGTCATCTCGAGGACTGGTTCACCGAAAGTGGTCGAGCTGGTGTGCAGTAGTCAGGGGATAAGAGGTATTTTAGGTCAAGTTATTAAGGGAAGAAGGCTTTCGCCCTTGAGCTCGATGGCTTAGAAGTTTAAACAGAAAA